TTTATACCTCTGGTTCTTGTTGCGTCATAGACAACGGGTCAAGGTTTTTACCTTTGGTTCTTGTTGCGACATAAACAATGGGTCAAGGTCCTATTATAAACCTGATTTAGCTTTCCTGGAGTTTAGAAATCCCTTGTTGTGCTGTGGGTCTCATTGTTCTCTTTGGGGTTCTCATCAACAAGGTTGAGGAGATGCAACAAGCACAAAAAAAGGGTTATAATTCTACCCAAAGGAGAAATTTTATAAAGGTAATGTGATAAATGGTAATACATCTCAAGAGTAATAAATATACATGTTATACTTAATGATGGCATTAACATTGTTTTTGGTGCTACTAATGAGTTTTGTTGCAAAGAATTTTCCAAAGCAATGTTAAGTAAATTTGAGACAATCAAATGTATTGGAACTTCAAATGAAATTATCTCAAAGATGAGATCTTCACCAATCAAAGAGAACATACAAAGGAGATGCACAAGTAATGGTCTCTCCATTGAGGCATTCAATTGCTCTAACAATAATGGAGGTAAACCTATCAATTTCAAACTCTTTATGAGTATGATGGACATATATATTGCTTTATCTTGAGTGCATATCACATTTGTGCTATTTCATTTATTTTTTATTGATCGTTATGACTTAAATCATTGATGATACATTCTTGGTATGATTTTAATGAGATTGTTTCATGAGTTATTTTGATGAGAACCCCAAAGAGAACAATGAGACCCACAGCACAACAAGGGATATCTAAACTCCAGGAAAGCTAAATCAGGTTTATAATAGGACCTTGACCCATTGTTTATGTCGCAAACAAGAACCAAAGGTAAAAACCTTGACCCGTTGTCTATGACGCAACAAGAACCAGAGGTATAAAGTTGGTTGACGCCACACCCTCGAGGGATTAAGAACGAGAATGATAAGTCAGGTTAGAACGCCACAAGAATAATCTTGATAATTTTTGTAAAGTTCTGAAACGAACCAAAGAGAAAAGTCTCTCAAAATCTCAGATTCAATAGCCTCCTCAATTAGGGTTACAAGCCTCTTTAAATAGGGAAAAGTAATTCTAATCAGAATAGGAAACTAACACCCTAAGCCCTAATCATAATAACCACGAATTGGGCCTTAAATAA